GGGGCAGGGTGAGCATGGTGAGCAGGGTGAGCAGGGTGAGCAGGGTGAGCAGGGTCAGCAGGGTCAGCAGGGGCGAGACGAGGGGGTAGTGCATAGGAGGGGTTCATGTGGGTGTGGGAGGGAGGTGGAATGGGTGTGTGTGTGTGGCTGTGCAGGGGAGGTAAAGTGGGTCTCGAGGGAGATTGGGGGGCTCGGGTGGACAGAGGGGGTGGAAGTTGGGGGCGGGCAGGATGGCAGGATCATGCATTGGTGTCGGCCGCTCAACCTCGCCAGTGCCGAGCAGCCCCTGGTGACCAGGAGAGGCCGTTCAAACCAACGGGTGGGTATACTGCCACAGCTGTCGAGGAGGCTGTAGCCCCTAGCCCGGCACACGCACCCGCTTCGTCAGCTTGCGCTTGCGCCACTCGCTCTTGGCCATCACGTCGCGGGCCTTGAGCTTCCAGCGCTCGTGGAAGGCGTCGGTTTTTTCCCAATCCTCCTCCACGCCCTCGCGACCACGCTGCGGGAACGGGCGTGGGGTTGGGATAGCAGGGTGAGCCAGGGTGGATGTGCGGTCTGGCACACAGCCGATGCGCAAATGCAGTGATCACGCTGAGGACATACTTGCACACCGCGATGCAACGGGTCGCCCTGAATCAAGGGTGTCAAAGCCGATAGCATCAAGATAAGGCTTGACATTCCAAAAAGTGGTGGGCGGGCTCACGCATGCGGCCAATGTTGGCGGGGCGAAAAGGGAGAGGGCCAATGCGAGGCGCGTGGCGCAAGGCCCACGCGTGCGCGACGCAGTGCATGCTGGCCCCACCTCATGTAGCGTCGCCGCCAGTGCCACTGCCGCGTCGTGCTTGGTTTCCTTGCGGCGCTCGGCCCTGACCTCCTCTGCAGGGTCGTGTGGGGGTCGGGGCAGCCAGCTTATTGATGGTCCAGCTGTGCTGCAGGCGGGGGACGGACTGGCGTGATCATTTCACCTGTCCTGCTGCTGTCGCCAGTATCGCCCCACCCGCATGCACACCTAATGGACACCCAGTAGAGCCACCCAGTCGAGGATCACGGGAGCCCCTTGACGCCCCCGCCCCACCCCCCAGGCCGCAGTCACCTCGGGCCTTGTCCAGCACGGCGTTGAGGACCTCGCGCTTGGCCTCATCGTTCAACTCCTTCTGAGCAGCACCCAGCACTGGAGGACGGGGTCGTTGGGTGCAGATGCAGGTGTGAGATGGAGGACACGTGAACTTCAGAGGTGCAAGTGCTATACAGCCCGTCCGACGGCGCCGGGGCTAGTTGTGGCAACCTGTCTCGCCGCCAAGCTGGCATGCAAAAGAGGGAGCCTCTTACATGCACCCTTCAGCAGCACCAGCACTGCTCAGCACAAAGGGTTGATCAGGGGCGTGGCCGGACTCAGTGGCGCCTCTCACCGTCGAAAGCGCTGGCCGCCTGGGGGTGCGAGCACTTGTCCGGGTGCACCAGTAGCGACAGCTTGCGGTACTGTTTCCGCACCTCCTCCGGGGTCGCGTCGAAGCGCAGGTTGAGCTTCTCAAAGGGGTTGAGCTTGAACGCCCACAAGATGCTGGGTTAGCGTCGGGGGGAAGGAGGGCGCGTCAGGCACCATCGGGGCGCGCAACAGCATCAGCGCAGCACGCGTACTGCGGCCGCGGCCGCTGCACGTAATGATGAGGTCACTTGCGTCAATTGACAGGCGCAGCCACATTCACTCGCTGCATACCCAGCTATCATGCCTGTCTCTGGGTTGAGTGTTCGGTACCAAGCTGGTGGCACCACAGCCAGCACGACCAAGGCGGCGGCGGCGGCGCAGCGCGGGCGGCTCTCACCGGTTGACCTCGTTGTCGCGGTCCACCTCCCGCACCTCCGCGAAGAATTCCTGCGCACGGGCAGGTAAGTGGGCGCATGGAGGAGGGGGTGACGAGCGCGACTTCCAGCGGGTTGGGCCCGGCAGGCTCGGTGTGGTTGCTGCTCCGGCGGTCGCAAGCGGCACGGACTGCTGCGGAAGCATGATCGCTGGGACGAACTGTTGCAGCGCGGTCGGCCGTTGCAGGAGCACTCCAAATTACAACAGCGGATGGTCCTGCCCCTCTCTGATCTGTACAGGCGCCGAGGAATGCTGCGCCGCGCGACAACCCGCGTGTGCGAGGGGGGACCGCACCTTGAATACGCTTTCGTCCAGAGGGGCCGTGCTGCTGCTGGGACCGGCGCCCGAATCGTCCGCCGCTGCTGATGTTGCCGCTGCTGCGCCATTTCCCGCTGCGGCTCCCGCAGCTGCCGCTGCCCATGCTGACGGGGGACCGTCTGGTAGCTCGTTGGAGCTTGGCAGCGGAAGCGGCGGCGCATCGTTTGGCGGCAGCGGCGGTGGTGCGGCGCCGTCCTGCGGCGGCAGCGGCGGCAGAGGCGGTGCTGCTGCTTCCTGCGGGGGCAGCGGCGGTGGCGCGTCCACGGGCAGCGGAGGCGCGGCGGGCCCGGGTGGCAATGGCGGAGGCGCACCGTGCGCTGCTGCTGCGACAGTGGGGCTCGCCATGCGGCTCACGACCCGGGCAGCTGCGATTCACGTAGTTCACTCAAGAAGTATTAGCTGTTGTGGTCGAGGTTCGTTGAAGCACACAGCCTGTTGCGCTCAGACGACACACACAACAAGTTTCGATCTGGTGAGCTATGGTCAGGTGTCAGGATGTTTCTGAGAGGATATGAAGTTTCAAAATACGCAGGCGCCGGCACATGGTCAGGGGGCTTTGATGATTTCGGCTCGGACTGCTGGAACGGTAAACTCACTCGGGTGACATCCGCTTCACTCCAGAACGCAATTTGAATTGAATCAGCAGCTTTTCAAGACGTTCGACGTGTAGTTTGTGTATCAAGAGTCACAGCCGGGTGATCTGCTTTTTTGCAAGCACATCTGAACGGCATCTATGCGTCGCGCTCTGCAGCGGTTAAGAAGCCTAGCAGCTACAGCAGCTGGTGCAGGCCCTCCGCTGTGCGACTGCCTTGCCCCACCCGGCGCTGCCAGTGCCGCCAAGCGGTTCGGCCGTCCGCACGAGCAGCTGCACCGGGCGCTATCTTCGTACGCCGGTCCGCGCCCTCCTGGCAGCAGCGCAGGCCCTCGCCGGGTGGCCCAGCGCCCGCGACCAGGGGCAGCTGAGGCCGGCAATGGCGGTGGCTCCGGCCCGGCGGCGGCAGGCAGCCGCGCAGCAGCGGGCGGCGGCGAGGCGGGGGTCATGATGGCCGAGATGAGTCGTGAGGTGCCCGGCGGCAGAAAGCCCATGCACTCGTGGGAGAAGTGGTACTGGGGAGCTGGCGTCGGCGGTGTGTCTGTGTTTTTGTTTTGGCGGCTGAAGCCTGAGGGCAAGACGGAAGAGCAGATACAGGTGAGGGTGCTGGTGGCGCACAGCCCGGCACAGGCCATGCGATTTGTGGCATGGAAGGTTTGCGACGGTGCCGGAGCCCCTCTTCTCGCCCCATGCTGCTGCTGCTTGCAGCGCCTTCCGCCTCCCCGGCACGGCGCACGCCCTTGCATTCACCGGTGCCTGCGCCTGTGCGGCAACCGCCACCCGGCTCTCTGCCGCGCAGGAGGAGAAGCGCCGCGCGGCTGAGCTGGAGGTCAAGCGCAAGGACCACCTGCGGGCGGTGCTGGCGGTGCAGCGGCAGGGCGGGTTCATCGTAGAAGGCGAAGACCCGTTGGACGGCCTGAGCCCGCAGCAGATAGAGGAGTTCATGGCCAGAGAGGGGATCGACCCAAAAGACCCGCTGGAGGTGCGGCGGGGCAGGGGAAGGGGCTGGTAGGCAAGCGGAGGGGAGCTTTGGGACAGCCGTTGTTATGTGGTGCGGATGGGCGTCTGGTTGGCCAGCTGCGAGCGACCGCGCCTCTGGGTGCTGCGCTGCGCCCTGCAAAGCTGGGGTCCAGCAAGTGGCACGGCAGCGCCTGGCGCCTCAATGCCGATAGCGCTACGCGTGCGACACCATCGCTCCACCCCCGTCCTCTGCGCAGGGCATGTCTCCAGAGGAGATTGATGAGTACATGCGGCGCCAGGAGCAGGCCGCGGCCAGCAGCGGCAGCGAGAGCGAAAGCAGCCCCGAAGGCAGTGGCGACGGCAGCTGAGAAGCAGCCTGTGAGACCTGTGCGCCTTTAGTTGCCTGGTACCGGGTGCCATGGGCCCTTTGATGAACTCATATCACACACTGTCATTACTTGTTCTCCGGATTGTGGATTATTTTGATCACCATTGCTGCTGCCCAAAGGGCTTGTGGGTGTCCTCCTTACAGACTGTGCAAGTGCGCATCCATCCAGCCTGCGGCCCATCCCGTGTAACGCAATCAACAAAGAAGAAAACCTCAACAATGTACCCTTAGGACGGCAACAGCAGGGCGCATCACTTGGCCGGGCCCCAGGCGGGGGCCGCCAGGCCCTCGCCCCGCAGCTCTGCCAGCAAGTTTGCCGTCTCGATGGCGGTGATGGCGGCCTCGCCGCCCTTGTTGCCCACCTTGCCGCCCGCACGGTCCAGGGCCTGACGGAGGGGGGGCACAAAGCAGGTTGGTGACAAGCTCACTCCAGCAGCCAGTGTGAGTGCAGTCAGCATGATGCAGCCCCATCGCCACGTTTCCGCCAGTGCAAACGGCTGTCTGTGAAATGGAGAGAGCCGGGCATCTGCAGCTGGCTCACTGGACCACAGAAAGCTGCCTGTCCCGAGCAAGCAGGCTTCTGTGCACCCACCCACCCACCCTCACTGATGCTGTCCCATGCCC